TTCCAGTTTTTTTACGGAAAAAATGTTAACTAAAATACTGTTAAATCACAGGAAATTTTTGAGGGAAATTCTGTAAAAAACACTGAAAATATCCTGGCAAAAAATTACCAGGACATTTTCCAGTTTTTTTACGGAAAAAATGTTAACTAAAATACTGTTAAATCACAGGAAATTTTTGAGGGAAATTCTGTAAAAAAACTGAAAATATCCTGCAAAAAGTTACCAGGTCATTTTCTGTTTTTTTTCTTCCAGAATTTCCATCAAAATATTTTCCATAATTTAACAGTTTTTATGTCAAATTTACCAATATTTTGTTAACCCAAAACTGAAATTCTCTCTCTTTTTACTCTGTCTTTTGTGATTTATTCACAAACTTTTTTTAAAAACCTTGGACTTTTCCAAATACTTTTGTCCTCCAAACCATTGAAGTCTGTATTCTATACCATATGTTAATTATAGTGTAAAATATATTAAAGTTAATGTATTTAATATATTCTTAACATAACTTTGAAACAAAACTAATTTCTAAGTCCACAGGAAATGTATTTGTAAAACACAAAACACTGAGTTTGAAAGTAGCTCATGCAAAATGATATAAAAATGAAACCATTCTACAATTTGCAGACTTTATTTTGCAATTTAAGACCATAAATTGACATCATCTAGTCTTTATAACTAACCTTTGCTATTATACATTAAGAGCTAAACATATTCTTGAGCTTGCTAATGTTTATCTTCTGTACATCACAACTAATTTATTGTATTTAACTATACAAACTTTCAACTTATAAATTAAATGTAAAGCAGTCTTGACTCTAGTCTTTGAAATCAAATAAACAATTTTGTTAATTAACATGGAACATATAAAAATTGCTTTGGATCATGAAAATCATAGTTGTAAACAGGACCAACATACTTCAAAATAATTTTTTTATGAAATACAGTTAAAAATCAAATACATAAACACAGCCTAATGCCAACAACAGTGGAAGACACTGGATTCATGAGTGTGTGCTCTCATTACCTCTAGTCGCTGTGAACATAACAAAACAGTCCATTTTATGTTTATGTTCCGCAAAAAAAGGTTAATCCAACTCTTAGATCCAGTTACCAAGAGCTTGAAATGTTCTGACCAGTTCTTGTGCTTCGCAAAGGTTCCTGGTGCACCAGGTTTGATGAGATCAATCACATTTAAACTTCAAAAGGCTCAAATTTTCCATGGATTCCCTGTCATTCAGTTCATTAAGGGAATTGAGCCATCTGGTTGGAATGCAAAGCTGCTTCTTCACCTTCGTCGGCGATGTGTCAGTCGATCTCGTTCAGGGTTTGAGCCCAGAAAAACTCTAAAAAAAAGAGAATGGATATTCAAGTTTAACACAGAAACTTACTTTTTACAAAACGCTTCTAAATTACATTACAGCAGAACATCACCTTGCTCATCAGCATCTCACCAATTGCTAATAGCTCTTTCACAAACATTGAGTAATTTTGATGAATTCTGACAAATAAATTTATACTAGGAGTGTGTCAATTGCAGATTTCTGGCCAATCTTTAAAGATCTGACTTGTCAATTCTGATTTTGGCTGATACTGATTGTCTTGTCTGAATATTGCTAAATGCAGCAAAACGTCAGTGGGCTGGCAACAGTGGGGTGACTATTGATAATTGCAAACATGGAGACATGATCTGGTGGGCCGGTCTATCAGTCAAATGTCTTTAACAGGAGAGGAAAGCGGTTGATTTTTAGATCTTTGCTGAGGTAGATAAGATCAGTGGGTGAAATCACCTTCACATGTATTGGGGGATCACCAATCTTCAAAATTAAGGATTTGGGGAAGATTTATTGGTGCACCCCTGTTAGTGCCCTGAGTCCCGTATGTCGAAAGCAATAGTGGGGTCATCCTGCGCCATGGCGGAAAATGATCCTTAGGGTCAGGGATTGCAAACCGGCCATCCCGCGGCAAATGAATGGGGAACAGGGGATGAGTTTTCGCCATTCGGGCGGACGCGCAGTGTCGTCCCAGATGCACCCGTGCCCGGGTTCGGTGCTCCGATCCCGGGTAGGGGTTCAGCCATTTTCTGGAACGGCTCAGCCATTTGGTGGAACGGGACTTGTGGCAATTCAACAAAGTGCCCAGCCATAAGGAGACGTTTGCCTCGGCTCCTGGCGCGTTTGGCTTCTGCCTCTCCAAGATTGTGTACATAAAAGGTTCCCTGCGCAAGCGGGCCGCGAACCCGGACGTCCCGGGTGGGAGCGCGATTACTGGACCACTTTGCAAACAGAGATAAAGACAGGCGGGGCAAAGGAGGGGTTATGAGTGCAGCCGACAGACACTCAGAGGCATGAGGTGCTGCTGCCAGATGGCGTCGGGGGTGACACCGGGCGTCGTCCCCGCACGTTTCGGCAGCATTCGCCACCGGGAGGCGTCCCTGCCATCCGGGAATGTTAGCCACTGTGCAGGAGGGAGCGACGCGCCCGAAGGTCCTGCGCCACCTGGTGTCGATCGGCGGTATGGGCGTAGAACGCCGCCATAAGGAAGCACTCGAAAAAGTTCAAAGTGTTTTTGAGCAACTTTGCGATTTTCGTGCGGCCGTCGCGCGCTCTAAAAATCGGATCTAGTTGGAACGGAGTTCTCCAGGTCGTGCTCTTTCGAGCGCCCCGGGTCCCGCGGTCCAACGAGGTCCGGTTCGGCCGCTACGATTTTTCAAAGTGGGCCCAAAATGCTCCCGGATGGCTGGTTAGGGAGAGAGTCCTCTAAATAGGGTTCTGCTGCAGGATGGTGAGAATCCTGTTTGCCATCCCCAAGCACTAGCCTTCTGCTGCAGGATGGTGAGAATCCTGTTTGCCATCCCAAAGCACTGCCTTCTGCTGCAGGATGGTTGTTAATTTTTACAGCACGTGAGCAGTTGGCAAAGTCCCGCCACTACTTCCTCCCCATGGCATCACGTGTTAATTGATTGCAGGTGGCCAGAGTTAATTGTTACATTCGGTTTCAACAAATTCAGCTATGCTGTGCAACGTTACTGCGGTATTGCAGACATAACAGAGAGGATTGCAGCTGTAGTTAAAAAAATAAGAGTAACAGGTAAGCAAGAAAGAAAGTAATAAAACAGCAAAAAAAAAAAAAAAAAAAAAAAAAAAAAAAGTTTTCCAGGCTGGATTCGAACCCACGTGTCCCAGAATGAGCGGCAGTAGCCTTAACCACTCGACCACTCCAGTCACGTTATTCCCAATGGGTTAATTGTTACAGCAGGTGAGCAGCTGGCAAAGTCCCGCCCCTTCCTCCTCCCCGGGGGTGTTACCTGTTAATTGATTGCAGGTGGCCAATGTGCAGCAATTTGCACCTCAGTTCAGTGCTCGCCAGGGACAGACAGAGACAGTCAACTGAGCAGCAGCATTACATCAGCAATTGAAGGTAAGTTTTTATTTAATGTGAAATGTAATGGATAGTTAGAATATAAACAGGTTTAAAAAGCAACTTTATTACCATGTAAAGCTAAGGTACCTTTTAAAGCATAAAACCTTCGAATTTTTAACTGTTTAACCAGGTGTGGGCTCCAGGCCAGATTTCTACCTCCCCACCACCACCCCCGCTAGCTCGCGCTAGCTAGCTCGCCACGTGGTGAGCTAGCTAGCGCGTGGTGGTGGTGGTTGTGGTGGTAGCAAGCTATCCTGGAGTAAAGAGGTGTTTCTGCTCTGCACACCACAGCAGCTAGAAAACGTTTGCAGCACGACTGTTTCATGCAAGATGGTGGATTTCCTGCAGCAGCTTGCTGGTGCTGCTGTATTTCCACCATGGTGCAGCGCGACAGTCTGCTCCCGGATGGTGGATTTCCTGCAGCAGGTTTGCTGGTGCTGCTGCATTTCCACCATGGTGCAGCGTGACAGTCTGCTCCCGGATGGTGGATTTCCTGCAGCACGACTGTCTGCTCCCAGATGGTGGATTTCCTGCAGCACGACTCTCTGCTCCCAGATGGTGGATTCGTCCACCATCCTGCAGCAGTCAGTTGTGCTGCTGTATTTCCACCGTCGTGCAGCACGACTGTCTGCTCCCAGATGGTGGATTTCCTGCATCAGGTTGCTGACTCTGCAGGATGTCAACCATCCTGCAGCAGACAGGAAAGCTAGCTAACCTAGCTTGCTAGCTAGCTAGCGCACGTGGTGGTAGCAAGCTACCCTGTAGCTAACACCCCTTTCCCATACGTTTCCACATGTGATACTTACCATTTATTTAGTATTTTTATTTATCTTTATTTAATTTGTTTATCCACACAGAATGGCTCCACCGAAGTCAATGGCAGAGTGCCCTCTGTACTTTTATAAGTTCCGGTACCTGGGGAAACACCTCATAGCCCGCCACTCCATCAGGAACCTGGAGGAGCGCAAAATTTTGATTAACCTGGGGTCCAGGCGGGTTAACATCAGGGGGCTCACCTGCCCCATCCCGGGATGCGGGTACGCCCGCTCCCGTCTTGATACACACCTTTCACAGACGGGCCATCCTGAGATGGAGGTGGGTGAGCTGGTGAAGGTGGTGGAGCAGGTGAAGAGGGACCTGACGGTGAAGCTGCTCCGTGAGCTGAGGGCGACCAATCCGGTCCCTCCCCTGCTCTCCTCCCTGGACCTGGATCCTGAGCAGGAGGAGATGAGGGAGGCTGGCCCCAGCTGCTCGCCGCCGGCCACCTGCTCAAACTGCCACGCGCTTCAGGCAGAGGTTATAGAGCTGCAGAAGAAGCTAAGGATACAGCTAAAGACTTTATCAAAGAAGAAAAAGCGTATCACCTACCTTCAGCAGGTATGTAACATTCATTCCCACAGTCAACCACCTACGTTACCTACTTGTGTTTTCCTTTCCAGCAGGACTGACTTCCGGCTGCGAGTTGTCCTCCTGCTGCCCTTTCGCAGCAGTACTTCCTGCGGGCGGGGAGTCTGCCATTTGCGAGGAGCAGGTCCTGCTGCCGGATGTTCACCATCCCTCAGCAGGACCTGCCAGCTGGCCAGGATCCACCACTTCAAGTTCTTGGCCATTGGCAGGAGGCTTACCTCGACGTGGACGGTGCTGGATAATGTGTGCAGGATCTATGAGTAAGGCCCTCTCCGACGTACACCGGCGAATGTTTTTTGATGCGTCCTCTCGTTGAACTCTTACCTTTTTTCTTCTTTTTCCTGGAGCAGATGGCCAGAACACTTGCGGAGGGAGGGCAAGGCGGTGACGACCATAGAAGCGTATGTGGTGAACTCCATGGAGTTCATCACATTTTTCCGAGAAACACCCCCGCCCACCTCCCGGGTGTTGAAGCGCACTCTGGTCGCCGTCCACAGGGCGCTCTCTGTGACGGTCTCTGGGCTGGGGAGACGGGTGGCTGTGCACCAAATACAGGTGAAGCGCGCCAAGCTCAGGCACCTGTCCCGAAGTGTCACCTCCGTGTTTGCCGGACCAGGTGCCGGGAGGTGATCCCTCGTTTGCTCGGTGAGTGAGAATTTTGTCAACTCGCGCGTATGTGTGTCTTGTTCCTGTGTCCAGGCATTTGAACGGATTGGTTACCTTGAATTTTTTTTCCCTCTTCAGACCAGTTGGAGGAGGACTCCTCCGGGGACGTGATGAGGAGGTTCTTTGGGCTCCTCTCCCTGTACATCTGCTCCGTATACGGACACCGCACCGGCGTCCTCCAGAACATGACCGTTCTGGAGGTCGCCGAGGCCAGGAGCGCCAAGGACGAGGAGCTCGACGAGGGCTTCCTCATCAACATAAGTCGAAGGATGCAGAGTTCCTGCTGCCATCTGGGCTCATTACTCGCTGCTCCGTGATGGCAGCCATCCGGAAGCATACAGTCCTGCTCCAGGATGTCTGCCATCCGGCAGCAGCGACTCCTTCCGTGGAATGGCAGGCAGCAACCCAACACCCCCTCTCTCTCTCTCTCCCCAAAAGGTCAAGGAGCACAAGACGAACCGAGCCTTTGGCTCGGCTCAGGTGTTCCTTACCCCGGAGGAGTTCAGGTGGATCGAGCGGTGGCTGACCGTGCGCGCCGGGCTTGACCCCGCCACGGACCTTCTCATCTTTGCGGACGGCGACAAGCCGTTCAAAAACCTGCTGTCGTCCGTCCAGGATGCGTGGTCTGAATTGGGCTTGCCCGGCGCACCCACGAACGTCCATAGCTACCTACGCAAGTGATCATCTAACCTTTTGAAAACAGTATGTAACAAGCAAATGTTGAAAGCTTTCCTTTATTTCCTAAGGCCAGGGATCACCTGCCGCCGGAGGAGCACACAGTAATCAGTGGCATCATGTGCCATGACATCTCCACCGCGGAGAAATACTACGCGGTGCAGAGGTCATGCAGCCAACTCGCGGCCATCCGCAAAACGTTCGACGCACTTACAGACCCAGGGAGGAGATGGAACCCGTCCTCCTCCAGCCAAAGGGTGGGTTTTCACGTGCCTCCTCGAAGCCATCCGGCAGCAGCAGAGGATGGCTGCTGCCGGAAGGCTCCTTCCATCTCGCACAACCTAATCTAATCGATGTTCTTTTTACGTTTCAGGGAGGATCTGCGGTGGTGGCAGCGGCGGCAGCCGCCGCAGAGGAGGAGCAGCCGGAGCAGCACCAGGGCCAGGAGGACCATGGCTTCCAGCATATAATAGCCTTGGACAGCTATGAGGAGGAGGTGGAGACCACTCCGGGCCGGAAAGCAACCAAGAAGGTGTTTTTTTTTTTTTTTTCATCTCTCCTCGACGTACCTGCCTCGAAGAAGCCATCCGGCAGCAGCCGAGAGAGCTCCCGGATGGCAGGCCCCTGGGGCCTGCCATCCGGCAGCTTCCTCGGCTGCTGCCGGATGGCTACCTCCTTGTCGCACACCCTACTCAATGTTTTTTTTTTCTTTTCTCATCTCAGAGAGCGGTGGTGGTGGAGGAGGAGCAGCAGGAGGGAGAGGAGGACGTGTCTCCCAAAAAGAGGACAAGGGTGGGTTTTCATCCCTCCTCGACTTGCCGTTGTAACTTACCTGTTTCTTATCTGCTCACATTTGAAACCTTCTTTTCACCTTTCAGAGCATGACGCGTCAGCAGGCGCTCTCAGACTCGTCTGAGGGCGCCCGTTCCCTGGGGAGCGACCCCCCCCCCCCCCCCGAGACCTCCTGCGCCTCTGAGACGACGGAGGTCACGGAGTGCTTGTACAGCTCCCATTCCACGGAGCCGACCCCGTCGTCTCTCCTGGAGACTGACACTTGCAGCAGCCAGTCCTCCGACATGCAGGAGGTCCCGGCCAGCCCTCCGGGAGTCCCCGAGTCTGAGCCACTGGAGCAAGCCGCCACCGGAGCAAGCCGCCACCTCCACGGCCGAGCCACCCGCCACCTCCACGCCCAAGCCACCCGCCGTCGTCTCTGCCGGAGACGGAGAGCGGAAGCAGCCAGTCCTCCGACGTGCAGGAGGACCCGGCCAGCCCTTCTCCGAGACTCCCCGAGCCTGCTGCTGCACCCCCACCGGAGCGAGACCCCACCGCCAAGGCCCGGGAGGAGGAGGAACGACCCGGCCCCTCCTCGTCCAAGCGACCCGGCCCCTCCGCTGCCGAGAAACCCGGGGGGGTTCTAACCATGCGAAGGCTCCGCTCCATCAGGTCCTTCTTTCCCCATCCGCCACCCCCAGGAGGAGCAGGACCAGCCCCATCCCGCTGACGTTGCGCTCCCGCAACGTCAGCCGGAAAAAGGATTAGCCCCCCCCCCCTCTTTTTTATATGTAAATAGTTTGAAGTGTTTGTGTGTTTTATAGTAGATTTTTTAGCACTTTATATTTTTTGTACATAGTTATATATTTTCAGTGTGTTTTTAATAGTTAATTTGGTTCAATTTTCTTGTAAATAGTTTTTAGGGTTTTAGTGTGTGTTTTATAGTACATTTTCTTAGCACTTTATATTTATTTTTTGTACATAGTTTATATATTTTCAGTGTGTGTTTTTAATAGTTAATTTGGTTCAATTTTCATGTAAATAGTTTTTTGGGTTTTAGTGTGTGTTTTATAGTACATTTTCTTAGCACTTTATATTTTTTTGTACATAGTTATATATTTTCAGTGTGTTT